AGGCTCCAGAGCAGACTCTCCAGAGCAGATTGCCGGAGGGCTGGCAGAGCAGTCGTGGGTCTGACTGCTGCCCCGTACAGAGGAGAGATCCCATCCAAGTCCACGCAGCAAGTTGAGCCGGCGTCCTAACCAGAACCCAATAGTCATTTACTGAGCACCTACTATGTGCCAGGCTCTGTGCTGGGCAGTGGACGTTCCAGAAGAAGAAAACAGAGACAACTGAGTGGAATAAATAAAGATATGAAATGAAGCAAGATAGGTGACTTCACATTTAAAGGGAACCCAAGGGCTAAGGAAGAGAAATAAAAAAAGGATCAAACAAAATCTCGAGCCTCAGCACGTAGTGGTGAAATTTCAGAACCTTAAAAAGAAAAGAAAGCTAAAAGTAGATTCTCACTGCAAGACTGGAAATAAGAAGGTGGTGGAGTAGCACCGTCAAGATCTATGAGAAAAAGGTGTTGAACTTGGGACCTGGTCTGTGTTCTATCAGTCAAGCTCGAAGACAAGATGAAGTCCGTTTTGGACACGTGAAGACTCAGAGTTTACTTCCCTCCCATCGATATAAAAATAACTAGAGGTGGTATCGCAGCAAAACAAAGAAGTCGGAGGAAGAAGGCAACAGAAAACAAGATAGAGCAGCAGCCCAATGGGAGGGAGTGAGGGGCGGCTGTCAACCTGGGGGCCCGGGAGATTCCAGGCAGCGGTCAAGTGGTGGTGACAGGATCCCATTCCCTTTTCTGTGGTCAAATCACACGATGTAGTTCGGTGGCTGAATAACATTTCCACCTTATAATCAACCTAGAGTCAGAATGCGGAGGTAAACACAGTTATTTAACAGAATATGAATCTTCTAAATCTCAACGTAAAGGTAGCACACAGACGATTATACTAAATAGTATAACACTATGTAATATGTATGCATTGTATTATGTATAACACTATAGACTAAAAATAAATAATATCAAATATAGTGTGATCAAACTGATACAAATTGGAAGGAGAAGAATGTGTGCTCATCTCCCCAGCTTCCACAGGGGGGAGTTCATAAATAAACACGTACATTAAAAAAGAGGGACTGAGGGACTTCCCTGGCAGTCCAGTGGTTAAGACTCTGTGCTTCCCCTGCAGAGGGCGAGGGTTCTATCCCTGGACGGGGAACTAAGATCTCATGTGCCGTGTGGAGCAGCAAAAAAAATTAGTAAATAAAATAAAATATCTTAAAAAAAAAAAAGGACTGACGCATATTATATGACATAATAAGCGGCCACAAAATCAGCTAAATCAGAAACTGTTCGTCAGGGGTTAACTTTGGATGGTGAACCTAGTGGGTAGACGTGTGGGAAAGAAGGGAGGCTTTTTAGAATACTATGCAGCAGTCAAAAATAATGGAGTAGATCTATGTATTTTGACCTGGAAAACTCTCCATTATATAGCCTAGGTTAACAAAGCAAGTTTTTAGAACAGTATTGAAAACATAATATTTAAATGTGTTCAGCTAAACACCCAAACCAATAAGATGCAGTCCCTGTCCTCAAGGAACCCCTGTCTGCAGCCCCTCTCTGTGTCCTCTGCCCTACACCAAGCAGCCCACTTCTGGATCGTCTCCGTCGCTCAGATTATTGCAAGATGCAGATCTCTTTCTGTCCTAGGGAAGAGCTGTTTTCTGTAATGTTTCAAGTCACGAATGCATGTTCTTGACTGCAAGTCATCAGTCCAAAGACTGGCCTGGATGAAGCTGCCCAGGAGAGGAAAGCTTCACACACAAGTAAAGCTTTGGTGGGGGGAAAGCCAAGTGGGGAAGGAAAATCTGAAAATTACAGATGCCGAGGCTAAAAGGCACCTCACAGAGCTCTGGTCCACCTCCCTCACTCACAGATAAACATATGTGGGGGGGGGGGCCTGATGGAAGGTCGTTCCATTGAATTAGCGCCCAGAAGAGGGAGAGCTGGGCTTGCTACGAGACAGAGGCAGGAAGGGAGCCTGTGAGAAGGCTGGAGTGGAGGCCTGATGCCAGGGCCCCGCAGAGAAGCCCACCGAGAGGTGGCAGGGGTGTGTAGGGCTGGGGTCCACTTCAGGAGCTGCTCAGGGAGCAGATGGCTTGGACTGGATCATCCTTCCTTAGTGTCCACGGAAGCTGGAAAGAAGGAGCTTCACTGTGGGCAGGAGGGAGCACACTGGGGAGGGGCTGGGAGCGGAGCTGAGGTTTTCTGAGCGTCCACCAGGTGCCAGACTCACCAGACTCACGTGAGGTGCCATCCGGCAGTTACAGCCTTTCACCCTCACACAAGCCCTGTGAGGTAAACGTGATTATCCCAGTAACATCAAGACAGTGACGGTTAGAAAACTTAAGTCATGTAACTTGCCCCAAATCCCACAGCCAGCAAATGGCAGAGCTAGAATCTGAGTCTGGGCTGGTCTGTTCCAAAGTCCCTGCTCAAGGAATCAGAGGGCGTCGATAAACATATGGTAACCAATCGATGAGAGAAGTGTCTTTCCCAAACTGGGATACAGCTAATCCTTTTTCCTTCCAGAATCCTGCGTATGGACTCAGGCCCTCTACCCAATCCAAGAATATCCGAGGACATCTGCTGGCTCTGGGGAACTAGGGTTTACTGGCCCAATAGGACCCTGAAAATGCCCACCTCGGAGGCGAACAGGATTGGGGCTCGACTTCTCCCAGCTCTGAGCCCTGACGTTGCCTCCGAGGACACGGAGCCTGCTGTGTCGGGCGTGGAGGGAGGTGGGCTGGGACGGACCACGAGCACAGTGGGGAGGAGAGAAGCCGCAAGCCTGGATCCTTGGTCTCTGGTGCTCAGCTCTGTCCCTGCCCTCCGCCAACCCCAAGGGCACCCTCATCGCTCTCGCCCCCCCCTCAGATGCTGTCCCTACTCCCCCCACATCTCCCTAGGCACCTCCACCCCCATTGAGCCTCTGACTTCATGGGGGAGGCAGGCAGGCCCAGGAGAGTATGTATGTCAGTTAGGGGTTGTCGTTGACACGTGGAGATCATTAACGAGGCTTATTTTTAAATTGTAATTGCAAAATGTAAATGCTCCCCAAACTGATGTGTAATTGCTACCCACTCCACCCCAGCCTTTCCCCTCTGGTGCCAGCTTTGCAAGGAGAGAATTAGAAAATAAAAAGGGGGTGGATTATGTAAGCAAAATGATTTTAAAAAAAGAGAGCGAGAGAGCTAAGAATTTAAGTGAGACAGCTGGCGGCTCCCTGATTGCCACACTTCCAGCTTAGCTGCAAAAATTGTGCTTGTCGATTGTACCCACCCAAGCAACAGTGTCAACTGTACTGAGGCCCCAGAACAGACCAGACTGGCACTCCCCTGGCAAGATGGCTCAGTGTGTGTGTGTGTGTGTGTGTGTGTTGGGGAGTGAGGGGGAAGATCAGGGTGATGTTTGAGGTTGCCTCCATCTCATCCATAGACGTCTTCCATTCTATGGAAAGACACAACCCACAGCAGGACTCAGCAGTCCGTCAACCCACGTCCATCCTTCCCCAGATTCTACGTATTCTCTTCCACGTGGGGAGGGCCGGGGGGACCTCCATTCTCCCAGGCATCTAGACGCCAGCATCCGCAGCATCAGCCTGGAGAGAAACAGGGCTCTGCCTATTGAACTGCCTCTGGAATATGTACTTCGGCAGGAGGGAGCTCTCGCCAGACCCAGAGAAATAACTGGACTTGGGCAACAACACCCATCCACGCTGGTTCACCAGGAATCTCTAACCCTTAACCTCCTTTTTCTCTTTTACCATCTGCCCCATCTCCGCCAAGCCCTCACCACAGCCACTGTCTGCAGTGAATTCCTTTCCACGTCACTGTGTGCACAGGCTCTGAAGATTGTTGAAAAGACTGTCCCCCAAGTGGGCATCACTCAACCCACACCTGGGGGGAAGCCCTGACCCCTGGGATATGCCCTCTTCTCTGGCTTTCACCTCTAGGAGCCCCAGCGTGCTCCCCACCCTGTAACACACCTAAAACAGAGCTCCCCAAACAGCCAGAGGGCACAGGAAGCAGATGGCCATGTCTGGCCAGATCTGCCACTGTCAGACAGGCGGTCCTCTTCGATATCCATGGCTTTTCTAACTACCTGCCTCTCTCCCTCTCCTTCTCTCGAGAGAAACCAGCTTTTGTGAGGAATTTGGCAATGATTACTGCCCCCCCAAAACGAAGACCGGGGAGCTAGAAGGTCATGGTGGCCCTAAGACATCAGGGAAACTTATAAAATCCTGGGCAGGGTCCTTTGGAGTTGGGGGGGGCGCCCATCTCACCATAACAGATCCAGCCCTTATCATGGTATACTGGAAAGAAAAAAGGCTTGTTTTGGATAACTGGATTTCTAAATCCCTGCCTATACTGATACTTAGGTCTGTGAGATCATGAAGTTACTTAAGGGGATTTAAAAAACCCTATCTGATAAGAGGATTAAGTGAGATTCTCTATTCAAAATGCTTTATACACTCTAAGGAACTATTTCTCATAGTTCATCACACACACTTGGGATACAGTTTCCTCCGTGTTCATGAAAAACACTTGGGGTACAGATTCTCGGTCTAAACCTGGACTCACAAATCAGGATCTCTGGTGTGAGGTCCAGGAACTGAATTTTTCACAAACCCACCCGGGGCCCCCAACTGGCAGGGCCACCCCCCCCCCCCCCCCCCCGGTGATAACACTTGCTCCAGAGGGTTGTACAAGTGTTACCGTCGTCGTCGTACGCGCAAGCAGCAGCCCATCCATCTGTAGCAACAACAGTTTATCGTTCATGGAATACATAGAAGAAAAGAGAGGTATACAGGGACGAGGCATAGCCCTCATCCCATCCTCCAGGAGCCGAGCAGAAACAATACAGTGCTGTGGTTTCTGAGGTCGTGTGTGCGCTAACTGTCAGCTAATGCTATGGGCTGGTTCTCGAGGTGTTCGGAAGAAAAGATCATCTGCCTGGAGGGTTTAACTTTGTGTTAAAGGACGGAGAAACGTTTCTTACTGTTCGGGTGATCCCGGTGGCCTCTGGGATGGCCCTCAGGAGACTCACTCCCCTCTTCTCACTTCCAGCTGGGCCAGCAATTCTTCCTTGTTGGCTGGAGCCAGTGCACCTGGGAGAAAGGGCAGAGCAGCGCTCAGGAGGGGAGGCTCGAGGCGCAGGGAGCGAGGGGACGCGCTCTGTGCCCCGCTTCTCCCAGGCTGGCGGTAAAGGATACTCCTTGTGCTCTACAGAACTCCTACCACGCCCCTCTCCTCACTGTCTGCTCAGACCCACCGGAGCTGTGTTAGAGCCTAACCCTTGTCTCGGCGGGAAGTGCCCTGTGGTCACCGTCTGTTTCTCCTGGCACCAGGCACACAGGCAGCTCCCTCTCTCGCAAGGGCGGGCAGGTCCCTGAGTGATCCTGGGTCCCGGGAAGCCACAGCTGGCTTCTTGCTTTAAAGTGTAGGGAACTCAGGGAATGGGCAGCAGTTGCCACATGCTCAGGTGTGTGGATGAGTTTCAGATGCTTTCCCAGGGGTGGGGGAGGCTTCGGCTGGGAGTCTGGACGCTGATGGGGTGCGGGGAGGGAGGAACAGTCAGGAGGGTGGTGGACCCAAAGCCATGAAAAACAGCCTTGGCCTAAAGGGGGCTTCAGCTGCATGACTTAACTATTTACTTTTAGATTAAAGGGGATTAATTTTGTTTCTCAATATTTGAAATGGACCAAGGTATCCAGAAGTGAGGTTGGTGGTCAGCACCGGTATAAGGCCTGGCCTGACACTTCCCAAACATGTCAATTTCTCCTTCTGGATCGAGTTGATAATTTGACTCCAATGAGGCTGTGCTTGGGGCCAGGATGACGGGGTTGTGGGATGGGGGTGGAGGGGGGCTGCTGATACCTGGGTTGCGTTTTCAGGGCTGCAGGGAGCACCTCCGGCCCAGAGCCCCAGCCCTACAACCAGAGGTAAATGCCTCTTCAACATTCACAATTCCTTCCTAGTTAACACCATCTTAGTCTCCCTGTAAAAACAACTGGCACCTCAGTAAAGAATGTAATTAGTGACATGGCAACAGGAGGAGCTAAACAGTGGCCAGGCTGGGAGCTGCAGTGGGAAATGGAAATTCAGACATTTGCTTGAACAAGACTTTCCCGCTTCCCGGGCGCACACACCTGCACTGCTAGGAGGCGAAGGTGGCAGAGACACAACATCCAGGATCCTGAGGGGTGTATGAATTCCTGGCCGCAGGGCAGAGGAAGTGGGGGAGCCCGGAGATGGGATGAGCTGAGAGGGGCTCCAAGAGCAGGCAGGGCAGTTCATGAATTTCCCTGAACAAAATCTCTCTGGGTTGAAACAAAACGCCCTTCGCCACCCTGGGCCCAGGTTCCTCCCAAGAGGAGATGACGGATGGATATGAGACACATTCAAAGCGGCAGGAGGCTGAGGCCCCCCTGGCCACTGCCCGGAGAGGATGCTGTGAGCACCAAGGTACTCCTGCAACAGCCTGTTCCTTCTCCGCTGGCCTTGCCTGTGACTCTTCTGTGAGTGCCTCCCAGTACTCTGCCCGCCCCAGGCAGCAAACCTGGGGGACGAGTCCGCTTCCTCCCTCCCCGAGCCCAGTTCACTCCCTCCCCCATCACTTTCCCACTTCCCACGCTTTCCAGTCCAGTCCAGGTGGAAGGTGGTCTTCCGCCTTTCCACTCCCTGGGACACACCTAGAGAGGGTCCTCATCCCTGGCGACGCCGGCCAAGCCGCTCCAGCTTGTTAGCCGCCCCCGGACTGAGCTTCCCAGTCAGCCGGCTTCACCCTGCATCCAGGGCCTCCTGCGTGCTAGACAGTGCCTGGGATGGGTGCATGGCTGTGTCACACCCTACTCCAGAATTCTCAGGGACTCCCTCCTTACAGGCACCTACGGTCTGACCTGGCACTGCCCTAACTGCCTTCAGGGCCCAGCTTCTACCCTTTACCCATAGGCTCTCTTCCCTCCATCCAAACGCAACCCCAGACCTGCCCCATAACCTCCCACTGCTCTCACTGCCACAATTCGACATTTCTACCAGGCAAGACCCTCACCATTCTTCAGTGTCCAACCTGAACATTCTGGCTTTTGCCTCTACAGCCAGATGTCTTTTTACCTCCTCTGTGTTTCCAAGTAGCACGCTGTCTGTCATCCTGTGAAAGCCCTCGCCACGTTCTGTCTCATGCTCTGGTTATCTTACACATCTCTCGTCTCTTTCCAAACTGGAGGCTCCTTTTGGGCAGAGGCCCTGTCTTCTCTCTGCATCATTTTTTAGTTTACAAAGTACTTTCATACGTAATATCTTCTTTAACTCTTTTTTTTTTTTTATGTTGGGGGTAGGAGTTTATTAATTAATTTATTCATTTTTGCTGTGTCGGGTCTTCATTTCTGTGCGAGGGCTTTTTCTTTAGTTGTGGCAGGCAGGGGCCACTCTTCATCGCGGTGCGCGGGCCTCTCTCGTTGCGGAGCACAGGCTCCAGACGCGCAGGCTCAGTAGTTGTGGCTCACGGGCCCAGTTGCTCCGCGGCATGTGGGATCTTCCCAGACCAGGGCTCGAACCCGTGTCCCCTGCATCGGCAGGCGGACTCTCAACCACTGCGCCACCAGGGAAGCCCTCTTCTTTAACTCTTAAAACAATCTTTAGAGGGCGATATTTCAATATAATAACTTAATTTTTACTACCTTTACAAAATAATATATGCTTATTGCACAAAATAAAGAAGAGGGAGGAATTTTTTTTTTTTTTTTTTTTTTGGCCACATGGTGTGGCTTGCTGGATCTTAGTTCCCTGATGAGGGATTGAACCCGGGCCCCGGCAGTGAAAGCACTGAGTCCTAACCACTGGACCGCCAGGGAATTCCCAGAAATTTTCAAGTTAGTTGTGATCCTACCATACAAAGATAACCACAGATAATATGCAGAGTAAAACTCTTCTTTCTTCAAAACAGTATCATTCTGTTTGCTCCGGAAGCAGCCTTTTATATTTAGCAACATACCATAAATACCTTTGCATATAAGGGAAATATACACTATAATCCTAGTGACTATGTGGCATTCCATTTTCGGATGTACTACAGTCACAAATGTCTATTATTTGTTATCTAGATTATTTCCAGTTTTTGCTGTTATAAAGAAATAATGCCCATTCTTGTAGCTGAGCTTTGCTCCAGACTTGATCATTGTTTTAGGATAAGTTTCTAGATATGGCGTTGCCAAATCCAAAGGTCTATTCATTTTAAAGAATTTTAACAAAGTACTTGCAGAAGGTCACACCGTTTTACGTCGCATCTGCAGTTTATGAGAGATGCCTTTTTCCCTGCCAGGTAGTGGACCCCATTTTATCGAGGTTGATAACAAGGCTTAGGAAAGTCAAGCACCGGGCTTGCCTAAGAAAACAGCCAGCGAGCAGCATGTCTTCTGACTCCAGACATTTCGCTCTTCCAACCTCCCCACTTCTTCTTATATTTCTTACAGTCCAAAGGGAGAGGCTGCAGTATAAGTGCTAAGTAAATGCTGGGCTTCCCGAAGGATGAGGCAGAGGTGATGTGCCCTCAGCTGTGGGGTGGGCCACTCCTGGGGCCTCTGCCGAGCCTCGTGTCCCGGGTGTCTGAGACATATTTTGGCAGATGACAGCTCTGTTCTTGGGTAGCTTTTTACTGTTCCCTCCTCCCTTCTTCTGGGCAGATGCAAATTGCTTCAATTTAGACTCCATGTATTAAGAAGCTACCATGTGCTGGGGCCTGGGCATGCAAAGATGAAAAACACACACACACACAAGGTCTCCCTGCCTTTGAGGTGCTCACAGTCTAATGATAAGGATATAACTGTACCCTGTCACGTGTGACAACGCTGCTTCTGGCTGTTGGCCCTACCACCCCTCCTCTGCCAGTGCCCACGGTGCCAGGGGCGGGGGACCTGCTGTGTCCTGCAGCCCCTCCTTCTAACTGTGTCCTTTCTCGAGCTGAGGGGGCCGGAGCTCCCTCCCCATGACCTGCTGCAGTGCCTGCTGTTCTGTCTTTCTGCTCCAGCTGTGCCTCTGCCCCCTGCCCTCACCCTTAGACGGCACTGAGGAGTGCAGCCCCTAAGAGGGAAATCACACCCGTTTAGGGGAGAGAAGCTGACCTCTCCCCCCACCCCCACTCAGAGACCAATAAATACGCAGTCAAGAGAGGAAGGATGGTCCCAGCAATGGTCCCTGTGCAGGGCACCGCTTCAGGACTGCAATCTACATACATTTCCCCTTTCCCAGAACTGACAACTGCCTGGTTCCCACCAGCCTGGAGAAAGCTCCAAGGCAGAAATATAGCCTGTAATCTCTTTCTGTCACAGCCAGCTATTCCTCTGAGCATAACGAAGGCAACTCACAGGACAGAAGGCCCTGGGGAGAATGACAGACAGTCTGGGCTGGGGGACAAGGAGACTGCCCACGGTCACGGCCACCCTCCCCCACACTCGCCCACCTCGCCCCGAGGAGGGTCCTGAGTGTGCCTTTTTAGATCTTGCCAGAGAAAACCCAGCCCCCTCTGTTTTGTGGCCATACAGAGGCTGGCAGGCAGGTTGTGACACCGCTGCCCTAATCTTGAGGCTGGGCTGGGGCCCAATTAACAAGCAGCTGGACAGGCAGGGAGGTAGACAGAGAGACAGGGAGAGAGATGGATGGGAAGACATGGGCCCTGTGTGACCGATGGCCCAGATGCTTCAGGGACAAAGGAGGAAGCAGGACCTTCATCTTGAAGATAAAGTCCCTCTGTCCCCACGAGATCCCCAAGAAATGGAGTGTTCTCACCTCTGCTCTTTAGCTCTGATCAGGCCCTTCCCTGCCTCATCAGGGTCATTTTACTGGGGCACCCTCTGACCTCTGACGGGTGGGCAGGCTTCCCTAGAGAACACCTCTGCCTGTTTAGCCAACCTGACTTACACTTTGCAGATGAATAGGACAGCACTGAGGAATGAGCCTCTGGAATCTCTGGCCGGAGGCCCAAACCAAAGGTCTTCCCCCTGTCCACTTTGGGGGAGTTTTCCCACCCTGGTATCCATCCCAGGAGCAAAAAACACCAAAGTCTTTGTCCTCATTGGCCATAGAGCCTTGGAAGAGTTCATTCTCACTCTGG